GCTCTGGGGGCAGCGCCCCCCCCCCGCCTCCCCCCGGCTGCGTTTCCTTAGACCTGTCGACGGCGTTGCGGTTCTCCGCCGAAACGAGCGCGTGTTTCGAGCGGGTGCTGCGAACGGCTGTTACGAGGTGATCGAGAAACCCAGCAGTGACATCGCTCAAGTAGATTATTTACCGAGTGCTCAGTTCAGGGGGCAGGAGTGATTGTGTCGTGCCGTCGTTTCTGTACGACACGTGCTGGCTTAGCCCGATCGTAGGTTGGCATGGGTCCCGGTTCGGATGTGCTCAGCCGCATCCCGTGCTTCCCCACAGAAACAGCTCCCTGGGCTTCACCGCTGCGGTCACCCCGGCAGTACAGCCAAGAACCGACTTTCAGGGGCCTTATTTGTAAACAAAGGGTACAGGAGCCCAGCCTGCCTAGGGTGCCTTGCAGCATTTGTCTCACTTGTCGATACTCTGTATTGCCTCCTACCCCAGGGGGCTGTGAAGATGATGGTACTGTAGTACCCCTTTAGAGGGCGGTATCCTGCAGTCTCGGGGCGGGGTGTTTTCTGAGAGGTTTTGGCTGTGCTGGTGCATCGGGTTTTGACTCGTTTACAGTTTAGTGACAACAGTCATGCATTGCAATGGCCTTGTTGATTAAAAATTTGACAGTTGATGGAATTTGTAAGATGAAGTATTTGACAGAAAAACGTGATTACTTATCTCTAAGGCTGATGTACAATGTAATCTTACATCTCATTCTCAGAATGCAAATGTGTAGTTTATGTGAATTACAAAAATAACCGTCAAGCATGGGCTGAGGTGAGAAAGGAGCACGCGGAAAAGTAAAATGGCATAACTGCAAATTACTTGATTTGTCCCTCTTCTTGTTTTTACTTGCATATGGCCCCAAGGAAGACAGTCTTAGTAAACACATCCCTTGTTCTCCTTAGGTGACAAAATCTAAACTCAGGTAGAATGTCCTAGGGATCCTGCATTCGTGAATCAGAGACGTGACTCTATGCTTCGTTATAATGTTTTATTAGAGATCTTTGTTATGAGTGCTCCTCTTGTCCTTCCCCCATCTGACTTTTCTCTCCATGAGGCTAGCTTGGGTTCAAGCTTGTGAGGTACTAAGGACTCCTCATCCAGACCTTCTGAAGGATTAATGGAATTAATTTGTCAACTTCAGGAAAGGAAAGGAATTTTGCCTTTAATTCTTCCAGACAGAGGATGAGCCAAACAGCAGGTTCAGAACTACTGAGTCTTCAAGGTCCAAAGAATATTGGTACCGTTCTGAAATGTTTTGGGTTTTCTTCCAAGAGGATTGCTAACTCTTTGTTTGATTTATCTTGCTTTCTTTCTAATTCTGATGACTTTTTCCCTTTCGTTTTCTTCCCCTGTCTGTCCCTCAGCTCTACTTCACTTCCTGTGTCTAAATACCAATTACCTTCTCTGTAACTCTTTGTTTCTCCTCTTCTCAGATTGTGGATGCTACTCTCTCTTTTCCTCTTCTACTGTTTCTAACCATCACAGGAGTTTGCTAAATCTCCAAGGTGATACGAGACTGCCGCCCTCGTTGCCATAGATGGAACACTACCAAACCATATATGCTCTTTGAGTAGTCAAGTGGGGAGGGGGTCATTCCCTGCATGCTTCCAGTTACGTACACCCAGGTCTGGTCTTCCTGTTCCCGTCTGCTTCTGTGAATCTCTAGTAATTGCCCTTATTTCCACTTCCTGACCACAGCGCACCATAGACTCTCAGTATGATGTGACAAGTGATTTTTCTTTGCTTCCTCTATGCGATCAGCTTGCTTCATACTTCTGCTGCTTAATTAAAATAAGGATGCACAAGCCACAGCAGGGGATTTTGTATGGTATGTTCATGCTGATGTTGTTAAGCAAATTTTATTTTTTCAGGAGCTTCAGCATAGGCAGAGGAAATCCTGCTTCTCTTAAAGTCTTTCTTGCCTCTTCTATAATTGTTTTATGTTACAAATACGTAATAGCTCAGATGAACTTGGAAACTCTCTCCCCTGGGATGTACCAAGCCGCAACGTTGGACTGGGTCCCCATGGGGATCACCAAGAGCAAAGGAAGCTGTCTTTGAGCTGGCAGATGAGGGTGAAGCTGAACCTCAGATAGCCATAGTCTTTGGGTACCAGTAATAATAGTACAGAAAAGGAAATGCCAAGGTGTTTAATTTCTCCGTTTTAAGGTGGGCAGATGGCTGCTGGAGGGATTATTTTGGGGAGTACAACAGCAGGACTGAGCAAGGTGACAGACTGGTAGCTTCTGGTGTGAAGTTGGAGGGGTTTATTGAAGCAGGAATAAAACCTATGAGGGTGTAGGACTGTCTTCTTTCAAATCCCTACATTAATAGAGTGGATTGAACTGGATGATAATGTATTTAGGTTTGTTTTGGGGAGATTATGGTAGATCCTCCCCCCCACCTCCCACTTCTCATTTGGTGTTAGAGCTAACCTCTTTTTTTTTTTTTTTTAAATAATGTAATAACGTACCTTGGTTTATTTTTTACAGAATCACAGAATGGTTTAGGTTGGAAGGGACCTCTGGAGATCATCTAGTCCAACCTCCCTGCTCAAGCAGGGTCACCTAGAGCATATTGCCCAGGATCACATCCAGACGGGGAATTTAGTAATGTGCCAGCGTAATATAGGGCTGTGGAGCAGGGAGAAGAGCAAGAGAGGGCAAAAAGGGTTATGTGTTTGTGATGTGCTTTGTTTTTTATTGTCTCTCTTCCAAAAAGCCACAGACTTGAAAAATGCATCAGTGAAGTGGGTTTAAACTGAGAGAATTCTCTTCTGTCCTCCCACGCAAGCGTTAGAAACTTCATGCTGCATGAGTGCTGATATTTCAAAGTCAGCCTGGAGGTTCTGAAGGCTAAGTGAGGAGATGATTTAGCACATTTTCTTGATTTGCAGCTTATTGAGGTTGTATCTTTCCTCCAACAGCTATTTTGTTTCTCTTTTTTATTTTGGGGTTCTCTGAAACAGCTCTTCCAGGAAAGCGCTGTAATTCTTATCCTAATAAGTGCATAGTAGTGAGGCTGTCACTCCCACCTGTTTTTTACCTGCTTCTGGCAAGAAGATAGGACATCTAGCTCTCTGAAAAGCATCTCCAGGTTAATCTGAAAATAAAATTCCTCTATCAGTTATTTGGCTTATTGGAGTGAGATTTTGACTATCCAGAAGCCTGTGAACAGAGAAAGCACAAAAAATGTAAAAATGCTGCAAGCAAGACAGTGCTGGTTTTGGAGGAGAGGGTGGCAGCATGACTAGGACAGCTTTCCTGAAGCTGAGTAACGTTCAGAATCCTGATGTACAAAGATGAGGACCTTTCAGCCCAACTAGCACTAGAATTAAGTGATATGAGCATGGTCTCTTCCACTTCTGACTTGGCTGCACTGAATTAGGCAGTGATGTGACTTCAGTAATATGGTCTCGTTTAAAATTTAAAAAATTCCCATTTGTTGGCACCTGTGACACCATGTGAGTGTATATTATTTGCATGTTATAACAAAGAAATATGGTTTTGCTGGGGGAGCTATTAAAGCCTGTGGCTCTGACTGGGAAGTGTCATGAAGCTCTTGGGATTGCCAAGGGAGGCAGAGTTAGGCCCTGGAACTTGGGGTTTGTAGCTGACATGAAATGTCAGACTGCAGAACTGCTGCTGGAAAATGGCTGATAAAATGGACTGAGCTAGTTTTAAAAAAACAAAAACCAAAAAAAAACCTAGTGAGTCCCTGAGATCTGCAGGAGAGAAACCTTTCACATTCAATTTATTTTTTCGTCACATGCAGTAGAACTAATACAGTGCTTAGATGCTTCGTAATGGGGAAGGTCTGCTGTGGAGCTGTTATGGCTCAAATCTGAGGGAAAGGGAAATAATTTGGCAAGATGAGAGATGTTTTACGACTGCAGCAAATATATAATGTGGGACACATTTATACTGTCACAGATTCTTTTCTGAACCATGCAGAAATGTGACAGATGCTTTACTGGGAAGACCTTTATCCTTTTCTAGTCTTATTGCTAAAGTTTCCTAAAAGCTGACTGCTGGTCAGAAGTCTTCTCTGCCTCCCCTCTACCCTGTCTGTATGCTATTTATATACTGCCTTCTGGCTGTAATGTAACAGTAGCACAACTAATACCTGTTATTTTATTCAGAGCGTTGCCTTAATAATCTAAAGCACTTTGATATTTTTCTTTGGTTCTTTTAAGTTTTCCTCTCGTTCTGTTTTACACAGATTATAAGTTTTGTGAGGCAAGATACTGTTCTGTGGGTGCCTCCCTGCTCAGAATAGAGCGTCTCTGGTCTTTGACTAGGATGCTTGAGCCTGGGATGGTAACATGTTAAAGCCTGATTGGAATAATTTCCCCCATCCCCCACATCCAGGCTTGTAGAGTTGCTGTAAACATTAAAATAGGGGCATTTTTCACCTTGTTTTAATCATTATTGCATTGTCACTGCAGAAGCAACACTCGTGGCTTGCGTGTAGAGATTATATTATATTTAACTCTCTTCTTATAAGAAAGGATATCCAGAAGTACAGAAGGAAAACCATTCTGTGTAGTTACTATCGTGATTTGGTACATAACCAACATACTTATTTCCATGTAGTCTTTATTTAATTATTGTGATATCTTGACAGCCTTTTGACTTCATCTTCAAAATGATACTTTAACGCTTTGATATTGTCTGTCTCTTCAGGGATGATTCTGTCCCAGAGGATAATATCTGGAGGGGCATCCTCTCTGTGATTTTCTTCTTTCTAATCATCAGTGTTCTAGCTTTTCCGAATGGTGAGTAAGGTTCATACTTCACTTTCTCACATGTAAATTTCTCTTTGTTGTCAGTATATTTATTTTGATTTTTTTTTTTAAGTACCACTTTTAAATGTTTTTTTTCTTTGTTTACTCCTTTGCATTCCTTTTTTGTTAAGGAACAGTCTGAAAATGGGTTGCAGTCCTACTGAGTGGAGATATCTGTAAAATGCAAGTTATTTATAGCTTGTCTGTGTCTAACAAGGAAGCCAGGTCTTCAGAATTGCAATGTCCCTATTTGCAGGTGCGCAGTTGTGGCTTAAATTGTGAAGCAATGATGCTTCCTAGTCCTTTAATGCTTTAAAGGAGTCTTCTTTAGTGTGCTTTAAACAGAGAATCTCAGAGGTATAACACCTTACATAAATCACTGTTCCAGAAGCCAGTGACACAGTTGGATACAGAGCGTAAATCTGAATCACATCATGATGTAAAACGGCAATTGCTCGATAGAAATTTATGTTGGATAGAAGGTTTATAACTATGTGGGGAGAAGAAAGTGTAAAAAGGGTAAAGCCTTTGCGATGCTTAAAATTCTGCAGAGGAAATGCTAGCTTCCCTATTTTATTTTTTTTTAATTTTTCCTTATTGCAGTCAGCAATGAGCATAATTTCAGTCAAGTTTAAACTGTGTCAGGATTGCCACTGTTCAGGAATAGATGAACAGTAACTGTGCTCAGAGTAGATTTCCACTTCTGAGTTGTGATATATTTTTCTCGTGTTTAAACTTCATAAATTGATAGTTTTCACAAAGTGCTCCATGAAAAGCTGAATGTCAGAGACAGAAGAATGAAGTTCATGCTTACAGGAATGAAAGAGCAATCCACAATGTGCACTGAAAACATCAAACATCTGTTCAGCCACTTCTTAGTACCTAATGTATGACTCATGTTTAGAGATTTTCTGCTTTCACCAGACTGTTATCTCCTCTGTTACTTGCACCAGCTAAGAGATTTTTATTCCCATAGAGTAAATTTAATTTCTGATTATAAAATAAACTATGTTGATACTGATAAGGGGCATAGGTATCTTGCATTCTGTTAGATACATGTTATCGAATTTGGAAGTTTTAGGAGGCCTGTTTGCTAACTGTTCATGGCTATCTGAAGTTTAAGTACAATGTTCTTTCGCTAACACACAGAAGTTTGTATTAGATGACTTCGTTTGGAGCAAGCTATGCTAGACCAAGCTGGAGATCTTTAGGTGACACTTGAGATACGGTGTCTGCTGAGTAAACACCATAGTACTGTTCTGTAGACAACTCCCATAGAAGTAATTGAACATTTTATCTATGCCCTAGTAATTGCCAGCCTTCTCTTTCCCCTCTCAAAACTCCTCTTATGAGTTTGTTTGTTTGTTTATTTTTTAACATACAATAAAGGGCCCCAAAACTTTGTATATGTTAAAAGGTTGATGGAGAACTGATCTGTGCTCATGCTAAATGCTCTTCATCTGAACTAAATCCAAAAACTGATTCTGTGGTTCTCGTCGCTGTCCTCTAATAGCTTTTTTTTGTTGTTGTTGTTTTTGTTTGTTTGTTTTTTTTCACTGTCCACAGGACCTTTTACACGCCCTCACCCTGCATTATGGAGAATGGTTTTTGGTAAGCTTTAACTTGTATTTCTGGTTTGTTTAGTGCTTCTGCAGGATTGGCCATTTCATCTTTCAGATGAATGGAATTGTCATGAAACATAACTGTACATCAAACTTATGTGAACAACTCTTCCCTCCCACCCCAAGCAGATCATAATCTAATTAAGAATTAGATCATAATCTATCATTTAATTAGATTTGGGAATTTCATTGGAGTTCCTCCCTGTTAGCATGGTGTAAGTTAAATCGCCAGACAAGGAGCATTCATTCCGACATTTCTTTTTATTCCTATTTTGTATTTGTGCTTCCTCATCCCCTACCATCGTACCCTTCCTACCACCATCCATTCCCACCCCAGAAAAGGTTGTGTTTATTTTTTTATAGCTGCGACAGATACGTGCTGACTTCTGACTAAATCCAGTTTAGTTAGATGCTGCTTTTCATTATCTATGAAAATACACTGTTACTCTAGTAAAGTGATGGTATAGCTTAACATACATTTATTTACATTCTTATGTGAATTTGTGCATATTCTTAATTTATACTTTCAGCAAAGTTACTGTAAACATTGATTACATTGATAATTGGGAAAAATAATTCCATTAACTTCATAAATTACTAGGTGAAATGCTGCTCCTAAACATCCGAATTACATTGCAGAAACATAAGAAATTTCAAATAAGTCAACGTTCACAGATCATAGGCTAGGCTCTAAGCATATTTTCAGAGAATCAGGCAAGTTTGATTTAAAAGCTGGTCTCTCTAAAAGGACTGTGAGTGCTTCTCTCTCCCACCACCTTATCAAGCTAAAAATAACTAGCCTCCTAAAGTAGCTGATTAGTCATCTGTTGACATTGAGAGGATAGTGCTGACTAGTTAGTACTCTTTTAAAGAATCCTGCTGCTTGCGAAGTTTGGGAAAAAGGTCCTCTTGCTGGTTTCAGGTTACAGTTACTGTAAGCTAAAAGGACGTTCTCAGTGCTAATAGGTTCAGACCTTGACCCCCTCTGCTTCTGAGGAAAGACTGCACGCAAAATCAAGAGCAAGATTTTCCCCTGTGAAATTCTGCTTCCTCTGGCATGACTTACTCCGCCACGTTTGAAATCTCAGACCTGCTCAGTAGACGAAAGGCAGGAGTAGTCTGTGTCCTCACTGGCAGGCTGTGACTCCTGTAGTAGCTTGGCATCTCTTTAGCTGAAGTGATTTTAAGTTGCTCTGCAGAGGACAGGCAGCAAATACTTTCTCTACATCTCTGTGTACCTGAACAGAACTTGTTCTTTAGCATGTGCTAGGGATTAATAACACTTTGATTCTGTTCACAGTGTATTCGTTTCTCCTTAGAATTGCTATAGTCTGTTTTGGATGGCCGATACTAAGCTTGTTCGTGTTGACCTTTTTGCCTTTGTGGCATTGCTGCAGGGCACAAGTAAGGTTGAATGCTGGACTATATGGATTTGGTGTCAGTGTTTATAGGCCTCTCCTAACTGTAGTCTTGATTAAATCCTGTAAATTTCTAGTATTAGAATTGCAGTGGGGAGGGGAGAGAGTTGATCTGCGAACGTGCTGGCAATGTAAAAACGTGGTCCCAATAGCAGCCTCATCTACCCACAGTTCCACACCTGGGATATTTCTTCACTTCTTTTCAGTTTAAAAAGAAAATCTATATGCAGACATGGGGAGGTCAGGGGACGTAGTCCCAAATGTAATAGTGTTGCAGAACTTATAACGGTGTGAAAACATATCATCAGTCATTTTATTTTTAAAAGTTTCAAACAGCAGATTTTCCATTTCACAAAAGTAGTTCAAGCATGCCAGTCTTTTAGGTTGTGTTCGTAACTACTCTTTATCGCTAATATAGCTCAGAATTGCCAGGTGGGATTATTGAACTGATCGTTGTGTTGAAATCTGCATACAGGCTTCGAGACCTGCATTAGTGAGACTGGCAGTATTTAAACAAGGGGACAGAGCCAGTACAATTGTGGGGTCCTAATGTGTCTCTTACTGAAGAGCTTCCCGAGTGCTATCTTGTGCTACTCGTGTCTAAACGGTTTACATTGTATGTTTCCTATTTCATGTGATGTTATGTGTGCTTGACCGCGTGAACTCAGTCAGAACAAAATCAAAGGGCTTGAATGCTGAAAGATTACTGTCTGCCTTGTGTCTCTAAGCTTTTTTTGCGTGTAGTCATTGTATGTAGAGAACTCATTTGTGAAAACTGGGCAGATATTGAGCACCAGTTTGCAAGCAGCTTTCTGGACTCTCTGGGTTTCAAGAGTTTTGTCAGTGAACATGTTTCTAAAGCTGAATCTTTTTGCAGGTCTCAGTGTGCTCTATTTTCTATTCCTGGTGTTCGTGCTCTTCCTTAACTTTGAGCAGGTAAAAGCGGTAATGTACTGGCTGGACCCTAATCTCCGATATGCCACAAGGGAAGCAGATATTATGGTAGGTATCCTTGGCACTGTATTGCACGTTTTGGCTACTTTGCATATGATTTACATGGGTGGGAATGGATAAATCTGAATTTGCTTGCATGAGCAGGACAAGTTGGTGTCTGTACTCACCAGAGTCAACAAGCCTTTTGTATCAGCTGCTGTTTTTTTCTATTGAAATCAATGGATGAGAAAGCCAGCTTTCTCTCTGCTCTTTCTAATGCAGGCTTTCAAAGGGGTGTGCAGTGGGGAACATGAGAAAAGTTTGAACTGGAATGGTGTAGAATTCCTTAAAATAATAGATATGAACCTGGATATTGGAAATACACTTAATCATGGTAGTATCTAGATGAGGCCTGCATGATACATGGCCCTCAGATCAGTTTTTTGACTTGCCACAATTCTATGGTAAAAGAACTTTGGTTTTTGCCTTATTGCACATGCCTTACGGCATGTAACGACCAAGTAGGTAGAGGGCCAAAAAGAGAAACTGCAAGGCTCTGCTGCTTTTCAGCCACCCGGCTAAGCAGCCTGTGCTGGTATTGCTGGGAAATTAGATCCACAGACTATGATCTTGAGTGGCATGTAAAGGTAGGCTTGCTCTTCTACATGTTAAACAGCTTGCAAGGAGATTTCAGTGCAGAGAGCTCCCTTCAGGTAAGGGCCCTAGCACAAGGGGGTGAGCTGGTGAAGGGAGGCATGAGAAGAGCGCGTGAGCTATGTCTGGTTGCGGGCAGAAGAGGGTATAAGCAATTGAGCACTAGGCAGAGGATGGTTATTGCAGGGGGAGGCAAGAGTAGTCAGTTTAATGCTCTTCCCCGTTTCATCAAGTTACTCCCCACCACGTGACCAGCTTGCCTGCTTGTCCTTGGGTTTGAGTGTTTGCACACAACAACCACGGTCAGTCACCAGTTGTACAGTAGGTGCTGTTTTCAGACTCTTGCCTCAAGAGTAAGGAAGTACGCTGGTCATCTCCTGCAAATAGCCGTTTACTGCGTATGACAACTACCACATAGCACCTAATTACCGGTGGCTGCAAACTCCTGCCCTGTGGCACGTAAAAGAGAACACAGATCTTTACAGTGCAGTTAGCTTGCATCAACTGATCGACAGTGATGACCGTGTGCAGGCTGCTTACCTGGAAAAATCCGGATGCTTCTTGTGTTGCACCTCAGCTGATCAACAGTACATGTTGTGCAACTGCATGACAGGACCTTCAGTTTTGCAGGATGTGTATGGTGGTGAGGAAGAACGGGCAGTCCACTGCTAGGGGTAGAGTAGGGTAGTGGGAAAACTCTGGAAAGGTGGGGCAGTTCTGTCTCTTGTCACATTCCTAGAAGGAACATGAGCACGGGGGTTAATGATGTTGCTGAGCAACAAAAAGGAACTGGCACGAGGAGGAATCTGAATCTGTAAGTTACTCTCGCCTGGCTCTCCTCTCATTTAAGTTAGAAATAAATAGATTCAAGCCAGGGAGGACTAGTATTACTGCTGGCACAGAACCACACTACAGCAGGTTCCCTGACTACTGCAGCAGTCAGCAGAGACTTACTCTATACTTCTTCACAGTCCTGATAATACTGTCACTTCAAGTTGGAGTAAATTTTTGGGGGGCACAGCAGTGCACAGCAGTGAAGGCTACAGCTTGGTGTCTTGCATGAGACTAGCCAAGTTTCTTGAATATAAAAGAAAGTTAAACGTGTATGTATGACTGGCAGGACTGCAATTGGAAAGATGAGTTATGGGGAAAAAGCCTCGGTAAGAACTAAAAAAGCAAAAAAGCAAGAGCCCTGCAAAAGAAATTTAGTTTTAGAGCAACTTTACTGTGTCCACTCTATATAGAATCTTAGATATCGTGCTACTAGTAGGAGCCTGCACCTTCCGTTGTACATTCAGTGCTTCTCATCCTTTTCTTCAGGAAATGAAACGCAGTGGCTATAAAGACTTTTTGTGCATATAGATCGTGGTGCCAAAATGACTTCAACTCAAAGCTTCCTGTGGTTTGAACCTGAATGTTTTTCTGCATGTATATATATGAAGCAAAAGAAGCAGAAACGTAGAAGACAGCTCTAACGTATGTGGATTTGTCCCCTATTCTGCAAAAGTATACCCCGTTCCAGAGCTCTACAGGGAATACAGCAAATAAGTTTGGCAGTTTCGGACCTCTGGATGCATGCAGTAAAGCTGCAGCTTTGACATCCTTAGGATAAATGATACGCTTTTCTGTGAATGATCATTCAGCGTCGCAACGTGCAAGCAGCAGCACCATGCTTTCACTTCAGAGAGCACCAACAGCAAGGGGTACTTAAAGTTTCGTAGTGGCACCCACCTGCCTCGATAGGGAGTGTGAGAAATGGGAGAATTATTTGGGTGAAATCCTACCTTCCTGTCTTTGTGGGGACCGGGATCTCTGCCATCCCTTTTTCAAGTTGATCATGGTTCATTTGTGCAGGATTAGCAGTAGTTTTGGCCTGAAAGAGAATCCTTTCTAAATTCAACAGCGCTGAGCAGTGCTGTGTTGTCACCTGCATGTGGCAGGTGACCTGCGGCGGCAAGCCGAGTGTTTTAGAAACTGTTTGCAGTTGGAAATAATCTTGTTCAATTTGTGCCCAGTGACAAGACAAAACTCCACTGATGCAGCCTCCAGATGGAATATAGATTTTTTTTTTTTTTTAATTGGGCAGTGATTTCTAGCACTTGCTGTATAATATGGTGAGATAACACATTTCCTTTGATAATAATGACTAGAATATTGATTAATATTCTTAAGGAATCTGCCACTCCTCTGTAATAGAACAGTTGCAAGTTCATTTTGATTTTTACTTCAGCTGTGTGACCAAACCTTCTGAATATGAATGTGTTCTGGGAAGTTGCTTTGTTGAGGAAAAATAAGACAAAAAGGATGCTCAAATGAACATTGAGGAAAAACAACGCATATATGGCTTTGTCCCAAGCAGACTGATGAGGATTAGTCACTGATGAGCACATCTGACCACCAGACAGCATGAAAACGAGGAAAGGTGGCTATTTCAAATCACCCCCCTCCACACACACACACACGCACACGCGCGCGCGCGCGCGCACACACACTCTCTCACACACAAAAAGCGAAGAACTATTTTCTAGAGTCTTGTTGTTTGCTCTTTCTTAAGTATTTGTTTTATTGCTCCTCCTGTTCTTTGGTCACGTAAGTTCTACCTGCTCCTCCAGTTTCCAGGGTCTGCGCTATCTCCTTTCAAATTAGAGATGTATTATGATGATGCGGAGTCTTGATATTGCAGGTTTTCTTGGTCAGAAGGAAGAGGAAGGGCAGTAATATATATTTTAATATCTTTATGATTTCAGGCTTGTTGCCCTGGATAGAAAGAAGTTTCATTACTCTAGTGTTTCTGAAGTTACCTATTCATTGAGGTTTTTTTTTTCTTGTTTGTTTGTTTGTTTGTTTTTATCATTAACAGGAGTATGCTGTAAACTGCCATGTTATCACCTGGGAGAGAATTCTCAGCCACTTTGATATATTTGCTTTTGGGCATTTCTGGGGCTGGGCCATGAAGGCTCTGCTGATCCGCAGCTATGGGTTATGCTGGACTATTAGCATCACCTGGGAGCTCACTGAGGTAGGCCACCCACTTATCTCCAGTGTATGAAAATATATGCGACTTTACTCATTCTGTGGGGAAGTTTGAAGATTACTAGAAGGATGGCTTGATAGTTCTCAGTACAGATTTATGTTTTAAGCCTATAAACCAGATGCAGAGCAATTGGGGCAGTTGCGTTAGTGAGGAGCAGCAAGTCAGGATTTAGGTAAGTTGTGTGGTTGATGGCTTACTAATACTTAACATAGGAGGGAAATCTAATTCAGTCCATTGCTGCCATCCATGCTTTGTTTCTCTGTTATTACGAGGCTCAGCACTCGGGCCGTTTCAGATTTTGACTGGTATTCCCTGATTTAGAGCAAGGCTTTCCCTTTACCACCTTGCAGTAGCTGTGATCTACTGCCGCCCTCAGTACAACAGTATTTAAATATTTTGTAAAGTGGTAGTCATGCATGGGCTATACAGTGAAACGGAATGGGGGGATCCCTTAGGGAAAACATGAGGACCCATGAGGAGAAGTCTATGTGAAATGAGAAGACGTTATGCAGTGTGTTGTTTTAGGTCTTGAGGCCTGAGTGCATAGCCACGTTTTTTTTTGTTAAATCATGTACAACAAGCCCAGTTTATTCGTGTGCACTAACATAAAAATGTGGTTTTACTAGACCCAAATCTGAGCTAGTTCACATACAGTGTAGATTGATGCCCTGCACCGTAGTTTGGAGGACCGCTAACTTATTTTTGCTAAGAGTTCACCCAGGCACGTGCGTAAGTCAGTTGACTGTTGGCAGTTTAATGTTCTGTTTCAGCTAATAAACTACTGATATTTATTTTAGTTCAGCCAGTTGACTTCGCTCAGGCTTCTGGTCCTCACTGCTAGATCTGTTGTTCATGATGTTCTACAATTGCATGATTCAGAACAGGAGAAAAAAAAAAACACAAATTTTTCAGTTTTTGGGACAGCATATTCTAACATGTCAGTTTTCAATTACTAAGTGTAGATGTAATCATCTAAATTTAATCTTTAAAATCTCAGTTTTCTGTAAAGTTTACTGTCTTGAGGATGCTTGGCCCATCTGTCAAGGCATTTATAATTCGGAAATGTAGATAAAGCTCTAGTGGCCTAAAGTTAAACTACTGGGTTTGAAAGCATTGATGCCACTAGCTCCTTTTCAAAACATGTTTTTGTTCTGTGACATTCAAGGATACTCTCTTTTTCCAGGCTGTTCTGAAACTATTCAATTAAAAAATGGTATTCCACAGGTACCTATCCATACAGCACAACAACTTTGCTAGTTGTTGTACTCATTTTTCCCCCTGAAAAAGAAGTTTAGATTTGGGCACGTTTCACACACGCTCTTATCGTTCAGTAGATCATTGCACGACTGTCATCTTCAATTTGACACCGTATGGGTTTTCTAGTGTTCCTTGTCGTTGAAAGGCAGGTTACTGGAATACACAATGTGTTGGGTAAGGTTCAACATACAGAAGGCTTATCACCACTCAAATGTATTTTTTTAATGAATTAGTTGATTCAAGAGAGTAACTATAAACCTACAAAAGTTATCAGGGCAATTGCACGGGGATTTAGCCATGTATCTCCTGTTAACATTTTTCAACTGGCTTTTCATTCTGAAATGAGACACTTGACTCATGTTCCATACTATCAGCTTAAAGCTGGGATCCAAGCAGACCTTGCTTTCTTGTTTTGAGAACAGCCAGCACCTTAGAGATGGTCTGGTAAACGCTTGTGCTCTCTTTTTTACTGCCTTATTAGCTGTAACTTACGGTGTCTTTGGCTGAACTAGTGTAGATTGAGATTCATAGCCTAATGCCCCTTTCGCTTTAGATCTTCTTAAAACCTTGAAAGGGAAACCATTTTTAGCAGGATAACAAGCTACATGTATAGCTTGGGTCCTGAAAATAAATTCAAATTTTCCTTTCTGCAGGTTGAAATTTACATAGCTTTGGTAAAGGAAAATAAGCTGTTTTGATATACTTTTGCTTTTTGCGAGGGTTTTCAAGGGAAATGCCATTGCCAGTATCAATAACTATAGTTTGTTATAAATTGACCGGCATTTACTCTTGCTTTATACCAAAAACATTCTTCTTGTTCCTTTCCCCACATTTGAATTTTTTAGATGTAATGTTCATACCTTTGTCAACAAAAAGTTACTCTGTTACAAAACTCTGCTAGTAATCTTTCACAGAAACACAGATAGATTTTTACTTATATATACACATACATGCACACATTAGATGACGAAATTGTAATGTGTTTATGAGAGTTAGGAATATTACCTAGTTTGTGTATTTTGTTAAGCAGCTCCTTTAGTATTTTGAAGAGGCTGCTTAATATACAGCTCGCTCGGTTTCCAGTACACAGCTAAATTTTTTAATCTCTGGTTTGCGGGTTGATGTGATGTATTTATTTATTTATTTATTTTCCTTGTGGCGTAGAGAAGAAAAGAATTTTCTCTTAAAGGAGAATGAGAGGAGCTGAATCCATTGCTGGAGTCTTAACTCTGGCCGTCTGGGCAATCATCCTCCTTCACTCTGTCAAAAACATGACCTCACCACTTTGTAAATACTTTTGATTTACTGATGTCTCATGGTAGTTCTCAACTCAGGTGAGGATTAAGTTCAGAAAGGAACAGATTGCTTCAAGAGTAAATGATTTGTATACTTTCCAGAGGAAACCTTTAAGGCACTGAGTATGTGAAGATAGATACAGATGGTGGAGACTTTTCAATATGGTGCTGGTTTTCTGGCTTGTTTTTCAATATCTTCATCTTAAAAGCACCTTTACAGTTAGTGCTTGCCAGAGACCAAACAGGAAGGGAGAGTGAAGTATCCTCCTCTTAAGCTGCTCTGGATCAAGAATAGCAGCAAAGCAAAGCTTGTATTGTCCAAAATGTTGATGACCTCTTAGTCTTTTTCCCAGTCACTAAATTCCCTTAAAATGGTGAATGAAAGAGTTTTGAAATGTAAATTAAGTTAGAACAAGTCTTAAGTCTTGAATTACAATATGCTTTAGTATTGACAGTTGTTAAATGTGCATACATCCTACTTATCGCATCTTATTGCTGGTTTAGAAAACAAGCTTCTTAAGACTAAAGTGCAAAAGCAAAAAAGTTTTTGAAAAGCACAAAATACCCTCTCTCCTCCAAAACCTGCAGCTGTTTTGCTTGCTTGATGCATTTCTGTGAACGTTCCATGTGTTCTCTTAGATGCCAAAAGCTGCACTAAAGCCCTATGGGCTGCATAGCCCCACTAGGACCATGCAGGATGGGGAACGGTGAGAAGAAGGAATCCTCTTATCCGAAGTGTTGTGAAGTCAATGGAAGGATTCCCATCATATTTCAGTGGTTGTCGCTCATGTCCATGAAGTATGACATTTACTGAGAAGCTAATTTTTAAATGTCTTAAAATCTTAAAAAAGTAACTTTGTATGAATGCTGTGCTGTTCCTCACCAATAATCTTTTTACTGTATTCTGTAGCTCTTCTTCATGCATCTTCTGCCTAATTTTGCTGAATGCTGGTGGGATCAAGTCATTTTGGACATCCTGCTTTGTAACGGGGGTGGCATCTGGTTGGGCATGGTAGTTTGTCGTTTCTTGGAGATGAGGACCTATCACTGGGCAAGCTTCAAGTAGGTCTAAATTAAAGCTTGATGAGCATAATGTTTAATGTTATAATATTAAATTCAATTTCTTGGAAAATAGAACTTTTTCTTTACCTATGTAAAATGCATGTGTGCAATAGTGTGCAGTCTACGTGTGCTGATGGTGCTGTATGTTTACTTTGAATGTTAAAATCCCATCTCATAGTGAATATGATTATGTGTAAATGATTTTCCTTTGCAGTCTAAGTTCCAAGCACTGATGCCAAATGAAAGCACAAAGTAATAAAGCTATTTGCGTTTTCAGTGTTTTATTTTATACAAGTGAAACTTTTAAGTAGGCAGTGAACGAACCTAATTTTAATTGTTGTCTCATTATACAACATTTTAAACTCTAGGCTTGGATTCAGCTTGATGAGGCATTAGTGTGGCAATGTGCCAACACTAGCTGTCATTGCAAAAGAGGAATCAGACTGATTGTACCTATATTGTGAAGTACCTGACCCTTTTCCTGGGTCTCTAAAATAAATGGAGCAATTGCAAAATAAAGCACCATTTGTTGTGGAAAAGGGCAACAGATTGTGGCCTAGTAAGTTTTCGTTCCTAGCTCTTCAGGATATGGCTTCTTCCGTTGCTTTTTTGCCTCTCTCCCCTGCCGCTAGATGGTAAGCATTTTATCCGCACCTTACCAATTGCAAAGATGAAACTGGATGAAGCGCAATGAGTTGCCAAAGGAGATTGCCTTGAGTTAATATCAGAGATGAAAAAGGAGCTCAGACCTTGACTTCCAGATTTGCACCCTGTATGAACTTCTGTGCTGCTTCCTTCCCTTACTCACAAGTTAGTTTGTTGCTCTGAGAACCGTCCAGCCTTTAGTCTCAATTCAGTTTTCCCACATCTCAATTCAGGAGGAATGGTGAGCGTTATAGAGTTGATGCTCCTTCTGTTTTTAGAGTTCACTGAAAATTAAGGAGATACGCTGTAATATCTGTGGGAGGACTAGTCTTTGCTCTCTCTATGGGAGAATTTTTCCATATATTGTCTTTTAAATGCATGTGTAAACTCTTTGGCCCTGTAATATAAAGAGGATCTGCACAGAGAGGGAAGCTTTTGCTTGTGCCCTTTTCTTGCCTTTTTTTTTTCCTTCCTGTTGAATAAATATGGATCTTAAAGTTTAGGAGAGGGGTGGGAGACACCCCCCTAACCTTCCACTACTAAAATAAAACGAAAGTCAGATATTAGAAGTGTCAAATTTGATGCTCCCTTTTTGTCCAGAACGGCCAGTGAAATTAACAGGCTGAAAACTGATTTGTACTACTAGGCCTCCTTTGGAGGAGAAAACTCTTGAGTTTTCTTTAGAATTTCCTGTCCTTTGGCTGCTGTCACTCATTTCAATTAATGTTATCAAAAACAAGCACTATAACACACCTGTCAGATGAAAAGCCATTGATATCCCCTTTCAAAGGGGAATTAAGAAGCCTTCTGGCTTATAACAGTGCTGTCACATCTGTGCAAAAGATTCAGGTGAATCTAATACCAGAATTGCAAGGGTTGGGAATGCTGTAAATACCACATATTCAAGCCTGTGGAGGCAGCCTGGTATATACACTTTATGAATGACAAATCTGACAGATCCTTAAAGGAATGATGTCAGTGAGCTCTGAAATGAGGACTCCTTTAGATAAGAGCAATGGCAGCATTGACGAGGGAGAAGAACTATCCTTCAAGTTCTCCAGGCGAGTTGAAGAATTGCAGTCCTTACTTCTTTTTCCTTCATGGAAAGAACGTTAGAGATGTTTTACTTTTTGAGTCAAGATAGAGGAGGGTGGGCTTTCGTAGCAGAATGCATCTTGACTGAAATGCTTAATAGATTATGCTTCTTAATTCACCCTTGTCCGTTACACAGTTTTGTCTGTGAAGATCTTTGCTGTCCAGGGAAAAAGTGATTATTTTGAAAACTCAGTAACATGAGTGTTGCTTTTTATTCCCTTGCGTCTTCCTTGTTTTCACCCCAGCCTTTCTCTTTTTCTAGGGACATTCACACAACCACAGGGAAAATCAAAAGAGCTGTATTACAGTTCACCCCAGCAAGCTGGACCTATGTTCGCTGGTTTGACCCAAAGTCTTCATTTCAAAGAGTGGCTGGAATCTACCTTTTCATGATCATCTGGCAGGTAGGAAATAAGTTCTGTGAAAAGAAAGCTGCCATCAGCCCAGTTACTTATTGGCGGTGTTTGGCTAGAAGATACGCTAATGCAATGCATGTCTGTCATTGAAATGCACAATTAAATGAGTTGATAATACGAAACTGGTCAGAGCATTGTTCACATGAGTTATGTCATGGTTTAGGAGTGTAATTACAGAATCTGTGGAAAAAACAAATGTTACACATTGCTGTACTGGCCATCAGATTATTATTTGCAATTGATACAGTTCTAAAAACTGCTAGATAGGTTTTTCTCCCATTGACTGTTGGATGGATCACTGATACTCAGAGTTCTGCCTTGGTCCAGCGAGATATGTCCCAGCTGCTTGTGTGCTTAGTCATGCAAATGCTGAAAGACGTCACTAAAAACAGTTTGTTTTTTTCAATTTGTTGAATTTAGTTTTTAAAATGAGAAACAGAAGTGTTTGAATTTTATATCTAGAATCTCTTCTGCTCCTTATCAAATTTGCCTCAGTCATTCATACTTGATTTAGGGTATAATAGTTTCCAAAAGGCCTTTGCAGTACAAATTAGTATCTGGCCCGTTAATGGGCGTCTGGAAATAGACCAAATGCTTTTTTAGAGGTGGCTAGGGGAGAATTGTTTGTTTCATCGGTATATTCCTTGCTTGTCCTAGAGTAGGAATTTTAGGCTCTTAAAACGCCCAGTCCAACCAGCAAAGCTGCAGTGGAGGACGTATGGTTGTCCTTAGGTAGTTATCATGTTAATCTTAGCATGTTTTCTATAGTAATTCCATAAGTGTCATGTCAGTTGAACACAGATGTCTACAGCACAAAACATAACTGACTTATTAACTGACTTCTTCTTTTTAGCTGACTGAGTTGAACACGTTCTTTTTGAAACATATCTTTGTGTTTCAAGCAAGCCACCCTTTAAGCTGGGGGAGAATTCTCTTCATAGGAATTATCACAGCACCCACTGTAAGGTAATTTTGTTTCCGTGGTTTGTCTTACCTTTAGAGTACCTTGACTTCTAGACACCCAAAGACTGCATATAATTTGTAAATAAATACAGCACATTTCAAGAAATTTATGCTTTTGTTTTACTATGGGTATGGCAGCAACCATCGCTTTTCAATAAAGCTTTTTTTCTGCCCAGTACAGTAATAACATAAAATTTGTATGAAAATTGATTTTTATAGGGATACCGAACTGCCTGTTTAGTCTTCTGTTTGTATAGCATCTGCCTGTGTTGTGAATTAGCTGAATGTAGCATCCTTGAGGATTACAGGCAAAAGTACCTGCTTTCATGAGTCAGATGCTCACAGAAGTCCAGATGAGGGAAAGTAGAGTTGTTGAGTTTTCTTACTTAAGCTCCTACAAAGAAGCAGAAATAAGGAGCTGAGGTAGGAAATAGCATTTATTCAAACAGCCAATTGTCTTGTTCCCATTCAAGGGTAAAGTGACATTACCTTGGACGATGAAATAGCAGCCTTGTGTTGCTTTATTCCTAAAATTCAGCATCTTTTATAGCTATTTAATCTCTCGAGTTATGGGCAGTGATTTCACACTGTTATCTGGATCACCTTCAACATCTAAAAGCTTCTGTATAGATGAGCTTTTAAGTATTTTTATGGTACTTCCAATCTGTAAAAGTCTCTGTCTTTAAACCAGTCTTATTTTGTTGGATTAATAACACTTGTCTTCCCCATCTGTCAGTTGAAATCAGAGAGACAGAGTCTGAAAAAGAAACTTTGGTCTCACATCCTTGGGGTTCCCCTCATTGTACTCAAAACATTTTGGAGGGTAAAGAACGGACTAGAATGGTGTCCAGACCACTTCCAAGATAAGGCAGATATTCTACTCTAGTCTTGAGAGGATAACGTGTCAGTGGTTAGAGCACTTGCCCTAAATGTGGGAAACCCAGATTCAGTTTCTTCCAAGATTCAGACCCGTATATCTCGAGAAATTGCAGTTAGATTAAAAGACAAAGTGCAGAAGAAGTGAGGGATTCTCTAATTCTTTTGAAGCTGTTGTACTTTCCCTAAAAGAATTGAAGAGTCAGTGGAGAGACAGAAGGAAAATATGTAGCTTTTTTAGCCTGCTGGTTTGGGTACTGTCATACTTCACAGAATCGCTGAGGTTGGAATGGACCTCTGGAGATCATCTAGTCCAACCCCCCTGCTCAAGCAGGCTCATCTACAGCACATTGCACAGGATTGCGTTTTGAATATCTCTGAGGAAGGAGACTCCACAACCTCTCTGGGCAACCTGTTCCAGTGCTCAGTCACCCTCGCAGTGAAGAAGTTTTTCCTCAGGTTCAGATGGAACGGCCTGTGCTTCAGTTTGGGCCCATTGCCTCTTGTCCTGTCGCTGGGCACCACGGAGAAGAGTCGGGCCCCATCCTCTCGACACCCTCCCTTCAGATACTTGTACACATTGATCAGATCCCCTCCCAGTCTTCTCTTCTCCAGGCCGAACAGGCCCAGCCTTTTGGCTCTCTCAGCCTTGCCTCATAGGAGAGATGCTCCAGTCCCCTCATCACCTTTGTAGCCCTTCACTGGACTCTCTCCAGGAGCTTCATGTCTCTCTTGTAGTGGGGAGCCCAGAACTGGACACAGCACTCCAGGTGAGGCCTCACCAGGGCTGAATAGAGGGGGAGGATCACCTCCCTCCACCTGGCTGGCAACACTCTGCCTCATGCACCCCAGGATCCCATTGGCCTTCTTGGCCACAGGGGCACATTGCTAGCTCATGCTTAACTTGTTGTCCACCATGCTTCCTGCTCTCAGGACTGTTTTCTGCATTATTTTGAGCTATTCAATACCTGTGATAGTCTGCTCTACTAGAACTGAAGCCATTTGGTAGACTTCCAGTGTGATTGCATGTGATTTCAGCCATCAGCATTTTATTTTCAGTATTAATCCGTTTGTAACATTAAACTAGTTTTCTAAATGTAAATATTTTGGGAACTTTCAATTTCATTAAAGAATTTTCTTGTATTTTCCTTTGCAGGCAATACTATGCCTACCTCACAGATACGCAGTGCAAGAGGGTGGGAACTCAGTGCTGGGTGTTTGGGTAAGTGTTCTTGTGTACAAATCTGAAGCCCTTGCACAAGTGTTAGGAACGTGTCCCATGCAGGAACAGACCTTGCACGAAGCCAGTCCCTGTCTAGTGTTGCTTTTAATGTAAAGAACAGTACAGACAGATTTTTCTGTTAGTTCAGCGGAAAGGAAAATCCTAGATTTGGAGATAGAGCGTGGGAAGTGATGCTAGGCATAAGGAGAAGAACAAAAGGAAAAACTAGAAATTGCTGGATAAAGATGGGCTTCTTCAGAGAAGCATTGGCCTTGCTGCCCATATTCTCAATCATGTGAGAAAGGAAAAGCTTTTGCAGCTGTTCCTTACCTGTTGCTAGGTTATTACTTACCTGGCTGTCAAGGTGAGCACTGCTTCTGTTAGCAGACTTGCAACAAAAGACTGAAACTAACCACAGTTATGAACTGTTTCTATTCTGTTCTCAAAGAGAAAAAGAAAACCACTGTATTTTGGCTACAGTCTCTTTCAACGCGTCTCTCAGAGGAGGCCTTTAAACGAAGAGACTGCAAGATTGCATCTAGGGAGAACTTCCTTGACTGAAATGTACTAGTCTCAAGACCAGAAGCATGTGCTGTTGTAGCATTCTTGTCAATAAGCAGTATAGTAGAGGTTCTTGTAAGTAAGCAATATAGTAGAGTCCATTTTGATTTAAGGCTGGAAAGCTTACAAATGGGCAAACACAGAAGATGTTAAATTAAATCTTAATAAACTATATGTGTGTATGTGTATGTATAAAGATCCTATTCAAGGAGCTCATTTCTGATAGCTGTGATTTTAAATTAAAACAGCTATTTCATTTTGATTTTCAAGTTTAGTGTATTTCTCATCTTCAGAATTGTCTGAACCACTTTCATATTTAACAGAAGAAGCTATTACTGTCTTAAATTAGAATAGCATTCCAATGAGCTATGAAATGCTCAAATCTAATTTAAAGATAGTGCTTTAGCAAACGGTCTCTTGCCTTTGCTGTTAGTCTCGGGGTGTCGCCATGTTTTAGGAACAGTGCTGAGCAGGAAGGCTTGTATCCAGGTGTACCACACTATCTGAAATAGCACCCCTTTCTCAACAGTTAATTGAGATGAGAGCAGAGCATGCTGCAATGTAATTCAAGGTATTTCTGCTCTTGTTTTAAATGTACCCTGGAGAACATGGCACATGTCTCCTTGGGTTTGGCTGGACTTAAATATTCACCTCTTTCACTGACTTATCACCTTCCTGGATGACTGTATTACTGTCTTCAAGTTGTGATCATAACATCTGATGGACATACAAAAGGTAGTAACTCTTTGTTCTTGTTTAGTTTTACTGATGTTCAGTAGGAGTTAAAAATATTTCCTGTAAACCTAAACCTGCTTACTTAGGGAAGAACCTCCTCCTCCCAACCCTGCTCTCACAGGATCAAAGTGTGCATTATGATTCCTAACGAGAGACCGTAACATGTGTAGTCCTTAAAAATACACTGGCCCTTTTTAATGATCATTGCAGAGTAGCTTGTCTTTCTGGGTTTGGTACAGATGACGCTTTAGCATTGAAGATGACTAATCACACAGTTAGTATGACTACTTAATGTACTACTAGAATCAAAAAAACCTTGCTCTGTGCGTAAACATCTTACTAGCTAGAGATGAACTGTATTAATATTTTAGAGACTTCTGCTTAAATGCGGGCATTTTAATGAAGTCTGTTTTTAAATGATTAAGGGATTAGGATGTTTAGATGAAAAAGAAAGATTTCTCAACTATAGATGGTAATTAAGTAATAACATTAAATAGTTTTATAATTTTGGGGGGAGAGTTTAAGTTCTGCCCTATCAAGAAAGATGAACTTTTCTGTTTCATCCCAGAGAAAGAATGTAAAACTACTCTTTTGCAAGACAAAGGGAAATATGATGCTGAGTGTTTGCCTTCTGGCTATGAGAAATTGTTAAGGGTTACAGCAACCATCACCATTAGTACAGAGCTCTCACGGAACGTGTTAGTGTATTATATATCAGTAAATAGATATTCAGATATCTTTTTGAGATTGCATAACAACTGCAAGAGAATATTGGTCTACAGTTTGATTTGATGGTGGGAAGTGAGCATGGAACAAGTAATTTCCTTGATACTGCTTGTTTCTGTAGTCTACCAGGAAAAAACACAGCTGCACTAGGAGTTCCTGCTGTGTATTGGAAAAATAGCACTCTTCCAGTAATTTAATTATCTTGAATAGTTAATTTATGAAGCCATTAAAAGCAAGTATATAGAATATTATTTCCCCAAACACCACTGATATGGAAAGTTATTGAAATCGTGAGACACTTAAAGGCACACATTGCATTTGTAACAACCTAACCATGGGAGTAATTAAACTCAAAGCTTCGTGTTAATATTAAACTGTGTACTCTGCAGCTTAAATGTGTACTGTAATGTAAGTCTCAACAGATGGACAGTAAATGACTTAAGGCGTGAATATAGCCAGTGCAACAGATCTGCTGGAAACTGCACTATTTTCATTAAGATGCAGCCTTTCAAAAAGGGGTGCCTGTCAGGTTTTTAAAAGAGCTTTTCTATTGAATAAAAACTTAGTGTATTTAGTTCTTTGGCACAGGAATCTAAAGCAACATGGAGATTCCCGCCTGCCTTTAGGAGAACGCTAGCACCTTTCACTATTAGCATTATTCTCTCCTGTGGTTTACCGTTTCTTTAATTGTATGTGCTTTTGAACAATGAGAAGCCGAAGTGTTCTTAACAAAAATAGGAGGAAGAATGTATAAACGCAGCACAAACAGCTGTATAATTTTTTGAGTCACTCTGTTGGAAATAGCCTATCGTTTTGTTTATAGCTTCAAGTATATCAAATCCGTGTATATGTGTTTCCTGGTAGTGGTCTTTTTGTTCCTGTTTGCTGTACTTTAATTTAACTATTTGTTTTCTTTCTCAGCTAAATCAGTAAAAATAATATAAAACCAAGAAATAGAAATAACTGGTGACCCTATAGAGTAGAGCAGCTGTCAAGTCTTATACTAGTATGCATCTCAATAGTTTGAGGTATTGGTCAATTAGGTATTACTTTCAGAATTTTAAGGTGTCTTTCTGTAGTCCACTGTGGAATGTTTTGCACTGCTCTGTTTTTGATTTGTGGTCTGTAAGGGTTTTCATGAGGGAAAATGAGACAAGAAGCAGTTGAAACAATAATTTAAAATGTATTATGAAAAGCTGCATAACACAGAAAGACTGCCACCCTTGGCGATTTCAAACTCTAACAAATATTAAAGGCACTTCACCATGACGGCATTTCACATGCATAAACTTCTTCAAAATTTCCTGGTAGTGCTAATATTTTTGAATAAAGAGTTTTAAAATTATTCTTCTGAATTCTTATTTGCAAGGAAATAAGATATAACGAGTAGAACTTAATATGTCCCGCTCTTCTTCCATAATCCCCTTTTAAGGAGATTCTGCTATTATAAATTTCTAGAGCTGGAGGTCTGTGTAGTATAAAATAGTATTTATCATCTAAGGTCTGTAGGGCTGTGCTGATTTACCTACACTAATTTTGGATGTGCTCTATAGCTTTTGTCCTAGATAAGCACACAGGAAACTGAGATTCAGAAGTTGTCTTTCATGTGCATATTGGGCCATTGGCCTTGTAGTACCTCGGAACCACCAAAGGAGCAGACTACCAGGGCAGTCTGGTCAAGTATTTCCAGTCCTCTGCTCAAGGAGGACAGGGTTTGCTTACCAGATCAGAAGTGGGCACTTCTGAGAGTCAGCTGGTCCTCTGTTTACAGGCCTTACTGAGTATGCTGTAATTTGTATTCAATAGCACAAAAGCAACTGCAATGTATTCCTTGCTTCAGGACCATCTCTACCATACTAGTGGTTGTCATGCGTACGTTTTTTTAATTCCTCTTTCACTGGGGAGCTGGGGCTCGTCTGCCAAGCGTTAGAGCTACTTTTGGCAGCTCCTTGGTTGTGGAGAGTGCTGGTAGGGAATGTGTCCTCTGGCGTCTAGCTTGGCAGACCAGGAAGCTTGACCTGGTGGTAAGTTTAACTGCACACATTTGAGGAGGAGTGTACATGTGTGTGTTCATGTACAATCTCAAAGTCAGTTAATATTGATCTACTTAAGTATTAAACGCTTATACAATTAGTAGATTTGCTTCAGCTTGAGAAGAGTCAGTGTTCTACATTGTTGCTGCACCAGTAAGTATTATTGTGCTGGGGTTTATGTTAAAAAGATGTGATTTTATATCCAGGACCTATACAAACTGAACATATATCTGTGGCAGGAGATAGAAGCTTTGGATTCATAACCCCTCATCCCACATGAAGCTGTGGGCATGTTTCTCCATATCTTTGGGCCTGAAAAGGTGTAAATATATGGTGGTATCAGAGAGATCTCTCTGATATCAACAGATATATTTATCTGGTGATATCAAAGAGCTGGAGATGCTTGTTTTGATTCTTACAATGCCAGATAGGAAAGTAAATGCTGCAATTTTCCCTCTTAAATTTCTCCGCAAATCTTCTGTTCTGACCTGGGTTTTACACATAAACCAGATCACGAGTGCGCTCTCAGAGATTTGGAATGCCATTAGCATTGATTTTCTTTCTAAATTCCATGTGAAGCAACCAGAGTAGTTACCACCTAAAGACCTATGTAGACCTGTAGTAAATGAGGTTGGTTATGTCTGACAGAAACATTCAAATCACAGTTTCTTAGCTGACCCAACAGGGAGTCTGTTGGTTGCTCAGCATGGAGATGAGACTTAAATCTTGTGATGGCTGAAGCACAGTAGTAGGTGAAAACAGAAACTCTTTGCTGTTGCACACGCTCCTGCTTGTTCCCTGAACAAGCAGAGGCTCAGGGAAGTGTGAACTGCCAGTCTATCACTTTTTGTATGCTGTTTATGCATGTAGAAAGAAAAATACGTTTCCCAAAGAATTTCACTTAGTGCTTCGTTAGAGAGTAGTGCTTGTTTAGAGCTGACAGTCTGAAATTTGGTTTGTGCGCATATATGTTACATCCCTAGTGTTTGTAACCTTTCTTTTTTTTTTTTTCTCTCTCCTTCCTTTACCCACAGGGTTATTGCTTTTCTTGAAGCTATTGTGTGCATAAAGTTTGGACAAGATCTTTTTTCCAAAACACAAATACTGTATGTTGTGTTTTGGCTTCTTTGTGTGGTGAGTGAGATTTTTTTATGTGAAACATAGAGCACAGTGAAAGTGTTGAAAGCTTCTAAATAACTTCCTCTGTGGAACAGTGACAGCAGGGGACTGTTGTGGGGGAATGCTGGTAAAGATGCATGTCCTAGAAAAAGCAAATGTGAGATCATTGAGAACATACTTTGAAGTGACTAGAATAACTCTTTCCTCATGTCTTTACATAGCTGAGTGTACGGGTGTTTTGGAAGGTAGCAATGAAACAAAAGCTAGTTACAGAGCTTTTTATCTTTATGAGAGAAAATACCAGTTCAGCTGAGGATAAGTTTGGAGATGCTTCCAATAACTCCTGTTCCTTTCCAGTGGGTTCTAATGAGTGGCACTAATAAATAATGTATGTTGTCTCACACTGACATCTTAAAATTGCATAAGCAACCTTATTGTTTATGATTTTATTCGTAAAACTTCAGAGGAGAAAAAGTATTGAATCGCTTCCCAGATCAGAGCACCACAAAACCAGATACGTAATCCAGCCTGAAGCATGGGGCAGCGGGAAGGGGGAAGGAGAGTTTTTTTTTTTTTCTCACAGCCTTATGTTCCTGATAACATACCTGCTTACCAAGTGCCTTTGTAGGATGACTAGTATAGTGTGATGAAGGGGGGAAAAATCATATTGACAGTGGATCCTGTGTGTATGTGAGTGGTTTGTATGTATTCTCACGCAGAACTGGTCTGCGTGCCCCAAGATGGCACCATGTATGCATACCCTGAACTTGGAACGCAGGTCTTTTTCATCCTGGTAAAGGTACAGACACAAACAGAGCAGGAAAGTCTCTAAATGCTGAATCTTCAGGGATTCGAATGTCCTTGAACCGGCAAAGAATTTGTGAAAAGTTTTACAGATATTTTTTATTTTCCTTCTCCCTTGTTTAGGCCTTTACAACTTTCCTGTGTTTATATGGTATGGTTTGGTACGCGGAATACTACGGCCACCGAGAGAAGGTACTTTATTAGGAAGTCTTTTTAAATTTTATACAGGAGTTAAACTGCAAAGCTCCTATGCGTTTGAATTCTTTACCAAAGCTAGCGTACATGGGGAGAGGGGGATGGTCCAGAGTCCAGCTGAAGTCAGTAGAAAGAACTCTGAATTCAGCAGGCGTTGGACAGATCCCAAATTACACTGTGACTTCTAAAGAATGCTGTCCTCTTAGAGTGCTGTCCTCTTAGTTACTCAAAATGGGGCTGTAATTTTAGCAAAGCATTCAGGGAGAAATAGTTAGCTAATGTCCCCATTATGTAGGTGGAACGCTAGAAGAATATTAAAAATACTTCATTACACAACAGATCACTTGACATATTATGTTCTTGTCGTATCATAATGTTGTACCTCTTAACCAGGAAGGAAAGAGACTTAAGTATTGGCGGAGCGTTTTGTCAGGACTTCTGCCATAGTTTAAATTTACAAGTCTAATAGCAAACTTTATCTGGACAAGAGAAGCACCAATCACAAGAACCAACATCCTAATGACATGTGTCCCTCTTGGTTTTTGCAGACCTTGTCAGAAAGTGAAGACAGCCCATACAGTCCAGATGCTTCCTGGCTTCATTCTAAATTCAGTAGAGGTATTGGCACCTTTGCATGTACATTCTTAAAGTGGTAATATTGGAATTAAGGGTCAGCACTAGGAAACAAGGCTTGAGAAACTTACCTTGGAGACAAGTTCTTTTACTTAGAAATCCCTACAGCAGCTATGCAGATAAATCATCTATAAGGCTGTCTATTTTTACTGCCTTTTTTCTTCTAACTCTTTAAAATATATTTATTTTTTAATGAAGGAACTTCATTTTCTGCTGCTATTCCAGACCATCCTTGTAGATTGAGGGGATTATGCATTTCATAACTGTTCTGAACAGATTTTCTCCCTGAATATTCCGTATTTGATTTTAAGTAAACACTTGAATGTGAAGTGTGCTTCTATTCCTACCTGTTAAGGAGTAGTGAAGAATGTGCCCTGTGACTTATGTTCTTATTGGCGCTTATCTAGCCAGTGCAGTGCTGATAATCGTGAACAGCTTTGTCTGTCCTAGGCAAAGGCAGCTCACTTCTCTGCCTTTTTTTTTTCCTACACTGGAGGTCGGTTAAGTTGTTTGTCTCCTCCTTTACCTCTTCAGTGTGGACTTACCTATTGGAAAAGAACAAGAAACTACCTCTATCAGAGCTTATACTCCAGGTGTATTTGTATTGTTTAAAAGTATTTCCAATTTATTATATGCTTGAAAAGCACCTATGCAGCAAAATTCTTTATATTTCATATGTGAATTTTCTAGATGCTGGTGTTAATTTATTCTCAGTTTAATAAGTTGGTAGATTTTTATATTTTGGAGAAAATATGCTTTCATTCAAAATATATTTTTTCCAATTTGATATGGCAGGCGAATCTGGCCTAGGAACTCCTTGTTCTCTGATTTTTATCTGCTGCCTCATTATTTGAAAACTTTAGTTTCTTTTGTGTTTTTCTCTTGAACGTTTGTTTCAGCCTATGTTTTCTCCCTTTGCTTTCTCAGAATTAAATGTGAGATACGATGTGAAAAATTGAAAACAAGAAATATACAAGAAATTCCAGTATTTCTGTGACCCCACTTTCTCAGTTCTTAATTTCTGATAGTAGTATCTGCCAGTAATAAGTTTGGAGATTTAAATTATTGATGCCACTTGAAACGGAGGATGTTTCCCTGTTTTATTCTGCTCTAGCAAACTTCTGATATTTTGAGGAATGAATTGTACAGAAGTCTTAAGAACTGCTTTTTTAAATGAGGCCACTAGATGGAGTACAAGTACCAACCAGGTCATAGTAGCCTGAGCTAATCCCTACTGTAAAGGTTGTAGCTCTAGAAAACCTTACTACCTTTAAATCAAGAGCTTGTGAATGCCAAATGTATGTATGTCAAAAAACTGTTTATTTCTCAGCAGGCACTGACAACAGTCCGCCAAAACATTCAGTCAATAATGAAAGCCATTCATCTAGAAGGAGGAATCGTCACTCCAAATCAAAAGTAACCAATGGAATTGGCAAGAAATAAGAAGAGTCTCGAAGACGTCCTGCAGTGTGACTAGAGATGGCAGAGGAAATTGGACCTGACTCTGACTTTCTGAGTGGGAGATTGATTTTAAATTTAAAATTTAGAAGAGGAGCTGTTGAGGAAAGCGGCCAGCTTTTCAGCAACCAACAGGGCCTAGTATCTTTCAAGATGGAGCCACTAGTGTATTGCAAATCATTGCCTGCTGTCACTTGCCATTCACTGAATTAAATCTAATTTCTTCAGCATGTGGCACCAAAAGCTAATGAAGAGTGTGCTGGAAAGAAAAATAGTTTTGTTGTAGCAGGTGCACACTGTTTTATCTTCAGGTGTTACAAGTGAGTTTTTATTATCTTAGTTGAGGACATAAACACAAAGGTTAGTAAACTGATAAGCAGTTGGCATGGTTGGTTGGATTTTATTATTTTACTGTGTTTTTGTTTAGTTGTTGTCTAGAAAAGTACGCAGTCTTTTGACGAAAAGCACCTCTGCCCTTCTTTCACAGTCTGACAACTAAACTTTTCCATTCAGCAGTTAGTGAGTATACGAAAATTCCATACTTGTATCCAGCTACTTACTTTTATTTAAAGGCTCTTTCAACCTGGTGACAGGGTTTTACCAGCTAAGAAATGGGTCCATGTTTCTTGCAAAGGACGTGAATTGACTTTCAAATATGGCTCTTTTGTTCTGTATTTTCCTTCTGCTTGATTGTTACATGTTCTATTTCTTTAAGCTTTTTAAAAATATCTATATGAAAACCTGTTGGAAAGTAAAGAGGGCTGTGCCTCCTGCCCTCAGGGACAGATGTCACGTCATTTAGTTAATTTTTCTTTTTTACGGAGATGTGTGTTGCATCTTGAAGTGCAAGTTAGCAGATGTGTCATTCTTTCAGCTGTACTGCATTTTGTACAGAGTTCCTCTCCACTCTCCTTTGATTTGCCTCTACCTCAGCTGGAACGAAGAAATCCCGACTCCTTTGATTTTTAGAAACTGCTTTGAAGGCTCTGATACCCTACCAAGCCTGATGAGGAGCAGTTTTTCACTGAAGTTAAGTTGCTTACTACTCCTATAAACAAATCTCTGAAGACACTGCTGTAGTGTTCGGTGTCTAAGGGATAGCATGATACTACTGTGATATACCACGTTGTTTTGATATTTCCTAACATGCAATCAGATAACCAGCAGCAAAGTGACTCCCTTGTATAGATTTTTCTGGAAACATACTAATTCTGACCTCTAGCAAAGAGGATGATTTTCCAGCAGTGAGCAAAGTGGTTAAGTCAGAGGTCAATTGCAAGACCTGATTGCAAGAGCAATCAGTTTGTGTATTATGTTAGCAAAACACTTTTGTGCCAACTAGATTTTTGGGATTCATGGGGTTTGGAGAGGTGGATAGGTTAAGCAAGGATAAATAATATCCAGTAGTCACTAGTTTTCATAATAAACCAGGATTTCCTTTTTCTATGAATAATGTTAACGGTAATTTGCCATAGAGTATGTACTAAAAAATAATGCAGCAGAGAATTTATACAAGTGTATGATACTGTAAATAGAAAAATGTAGCCCATGTAACCCATAAAATTCATATGTGCCACAGATTATCAACATTTTCAATGCACTTACAGTGTTGCTGCTGAACTCCTCAGAGGCCCTGTGTTTCCCATCACCCCTTTCAATCAAACACAGTGTGTACAATTTCAGAACTAACTTTTAATGGAAGCTGCTATTGTCATTGTTGCTACAGTGACATTAAATGTTACATAAGAAATATGATAGGAACATTTTCAGACTTTCCTGCAAATATTCTGCTTTCATTCATATTGGCAATTCATTTATATTGTCTTTGTCTGTGGTGCGCTATGTATTGATGAATGTATTTGTAGCTTTCTTTGAATATTCAGACTTGTTAATTTTTTATTGTCTTGGTTAATACCTCAGTCTATGTAAGACTGAAGATCGGCATTGTAAATTTTCTATTGATTCAATACCAAAGCAAGAGGTTGGAAGTTTAATGGTTTAGATATTTTAAGTACTGTTGTTTTTAAAGGTGAGAGCCTGTTTTGTACTGCAAAGTGTATATGCACCAATTGTGTATGCAAAGCTTACCTGTGCAAGCAGGTGCTGAAGTGCAATGTCTCCTTGCCTGTGTATGGTGGGAACAAACACACATTTTGTAAATGCAGAACTAGCGCTCGCGCTACTGAGTTGCACCCTCAAAATATTAAAAAGGCAAATATGAATGTCATCTTGTTGGAAGTTGACTTCTGTATGCTATTACAACAGCACAGGCCTTGAAGAAATGTTGTTTGACAGCACATTTTAAATATTTCCCATGATGCTTTTTTACTTTAATTTTTTTTTCCTTTTTTTTTTTTTTACTCCTTTCAAAGGAGAGAGGGCTAGGGAGGGGGGGGCAACTAAGTAAATGTGTCAAGTGCGCTTTGGAAAATGGCACTTCCTGTCCTTTCTCAGCAGTTCTGGCTGGAATTCACGTGTGTTCTCGCAAGTCCTCTGCTGACTGACAACTGCATTTTCTGCCCCATCTTCTTTGGAAGTGAACTTTGCGCAGGCGGTCGTGAGAAAGGTGCTTTTGATCACTGCTGTAAATCTGAAGTGATCCCAATTTTATCATTTACTGCACTATTGCTGAACTTTGTATGTGTGTAACACCTAAAATGACAAATCACTGTGCTGTTTAGTAACTAGCATCCATGTATGAATTCTGCTGCTTGAACAGTATTTTGTAATAGTCACGGATGCACTGTCCTCTTTCTAACTACTTGTTCTATCGCATTCTCTCCTTCTTACTTTCCTGCTTCTAATGTTCTTTTCTCTGTCCTCTAGTGATCGCCCCCTCTGCTGTTGAGAGGTCTGAATTTGCCCTCCAGAGGCTGTCCATGAGTAATGTCAGTCATTGAAGGGAGGCTAATTCAAGGCAGCATGGCATAAACAGAGGATAGTGACAAGAACTTTTTAAGTAGTGGATGAAGTAGAAATGGAGAGTTTTAAGATGCAGATATGAAGAGCTAGCCATGAATACTGGATTCCAGTATTAAAGTTGCTATATAGATCATATACAGTATCTAATCAAATATTTAGAGTGTGATTTCAACCAGAACTTTTGTTACTCTTTTCTGAAGACAGTCATTTGATGTTCCAGTAGTTAAAACTTTACTTTTTACCATGTTATCACAAGAGGACACAGGTGTAACCATGTATTTAATAGTTTGGAATAGAGTTGCTCTGTATTGATTGCAAAGTATTGTATTTTGCAATAACTCAGTAAATCAACCCATGTCACCGGTATGCGTGTTTGTCTGTACCTGCAAGGCATAGGAAATGATTACATACTACCTTAAGAGACTATTACATTTTATTTTCTATTGCACACTGACTAATTCAGTGGTTCCTTATCAATGTATAGTGCACACTGAGGTTTTGCTGTAATTTATTATTTTTGGAGCAGTAGATCTGAAAATCTGAACAGTGATAATATGCCCTCTGCTTCTTTTCAGGATTCTAGTGTACAGGATAACTCTGCCTTAAATTTAGTTATTCTTTTTCTGTTTTACTGTTGAATGGGAGAATTGAGTTGCAGAATGGTCTCATGACAGACCTGCGCCAAAAAAAAAACCAAACAGACTTCCCGTAAAAGAATAATAAAACAGGTTATTAGCAAGTAACTAACCTTATTAGGTCATGCTTTACTTAGCACCAGTTCTGCCTGCCCCTAGCTCTTTCTGGAGTTACTGAGATTCCTTTCACACTTCTCGGCACACGTGGGTCCAGAAAGGCATATCAGAAAGCATGAAGATAGTTAGATGGTTTCCATTCTTACACTAGCTCTTCACATTTTATATGGTAAATCAAGGTAATAATTGGCCTAGAATTGGGAATTCAATGCATAAACTATCAGAATGGCCCTGGGGATGCAGTTTGGATCTGGAAGAAGAACAAATACTTAGTTTCTTTCCATTTTTCTGGAGGATGCTAAACACTGTTGCCTTGACAATGTACAGTTTGCTATACATGCACAGAACATCTTAAGAACAGGTATTGTTCTTTTGCAGTGTTTGCAGCCTTCTGCAGTGTTGTTTTTCACATGTCTATTTATTATGGACAGCTGCCGAGTAGAATTTATCCAAGTTCCCTCAAAATCGGGTAAGTGAAATCTCTTTCATCTTTAAAGTCATGGTTCTCTCATAGGACTTGGGCGACTGATTTGGGATCAAATTTTATTTCCAGCTCCTTCCCAAGTGTCTTTATTTGGATTGTATCTTAATGTTTCCACCATCTCTCGAAAAGAAATAAGGACTGGTCTCTCATGGTTGGGCATTTTTTGTCTCACAAGGGAGCAGTTCCTGCTGCCCTCCACAGTCTTAATTACATTCTGGTAAGACCAAGTGAAGCTTTGCTTCAGTTCAGGGAGAAAAAAAAAGAAAGTCTGGGAAAGAATGTAAACTGTAAACATTGAATTCCTATAATCAGCAAAAATGTAAGTGCCAGACTATACTAAGCATACACATGGGTTTAATTTTCATAGTTTTCATGGGTCTCAGCTTGCAGATGAACATGAAATAACTGGATGACTTCTTTAATATTTTTTGGAGTAGGGGAATTTACAGCAGTAGCATTCCCATGGACCTGATCCAAAGCATATTCTGCAACTGTTGTACCTTCAATTCCATATTTCAGTGGTTCTTGCTGAAAAAATGCATAAAATATTTGTGTATATGTATGTGTGTATACGTATATATCTACCAAGTGAACTTTCTCATCAAAATGCTCAGTGCCTATTTGAGTGCTGTCTCTCTGTGACAGTGGCTACTGTGTGTGTGAACGTTTGCAAACATATAAGTGTGTGTATGTACATGCACAATGTCTAGGGCAATAGGCATTGATCTCACTTGTAGCCTCTAGGTGATGCTATAACACAAACACAAAAACGTGACCTGAATTTTCAAATGTTGCTTCTAATTTGGGGCTACTAGCGTTAGCCACCCTGGCTCGATTTTAAAGACTTTATAACTCCTGTTAACTTAATGACATGTGCCATACACACAGGGCTGCAAAGTGCCTGTGTTGTCAAACTTGCTGCGGAACAACCAAAGGAAAATAAAATCAAATGAGTAGCTTTGAGGAGGCTTTTAATTAAAATGTTAAATGACAGCTCTAGTCTTTGGAAAGCAAGAGCAAAACTTCTATTTTGGTTTCTACCAAACATGCACACTACCAATTTGTTGTCAAAGTACCTTCCCTGGTGGAAGGAAGCACAAATCTGTCCAGAAGCTCCTCAGGAGAAAGCTGTGGGCAGGATCCTTCTGGCTTTGGATTGTATCTTACCACTGTTACCATTGCCCTTTGTGTGGGGCACGGAGGTGGGACAGGATGACCACTGTTTTAAAAGGTTGTTTGGTGTTGCTTCCAGGAATTCTGCTGGACCAGGCCACAATCCCCAGTACTGCTTGCTCTTGTAGGAGTCTGAATTTCTGGCAGTAGTAATGAAGCCGTGATTGTGTCTGCTTGTTCAGATAAGGCTGTCCCTCATCCTTTCAGTCCTGTTTGGGGAACTGAAGCTGCTGTGTGCAAATTATTGCTGCATGTCTTTATATGGCTCAAAATTTGAGAAAGGATCAATATGCTTCAGTAAGTATATAGAACTTTATACCATCTGCAAAGAAGTCCCGTTTTTCCCATTAAAGGCCAATAGATGCTGAGTATTGTTTAAAGGTTTGGAAAATCCTCTTAGCCACAGAAACCTCAACAGGGCACCTGACTTTTAGCGGTTACTACGGTTTCTAGGTGTTAACACTGAGATGTTCTCATCAGCCTAGGAAAAGAAGTCCACTTATTTTGTGTGTGGTCAGCTGAGAGAAGAAATCACAGCCCTCACTTCTTGCAGGAGGAAACAGAGTCCTTACTCTTCTGAATTTTATTCTGTACAGGGTCACCACCGATAGAAACCTATGATGGCTTTGTTGTAGCCTAGCTTCAGTACTTGCTCTCACAAAACTGTCAATGGAGAGGAAAGAGAATACAGTGAAAAGTACCGCTAAAGGAAATATATTTCCATCAATCAAATACACGATCTGGAGGAAGACCAGGACCTTTCATTAACTTAGCTCGAGCATTGCATTTATTTTTCTCTTTATGTGCTGTAAGAGCAGTAGGTGACACAAAATGATGCTTTAAATATTATTTCTACCTTTCAGCTGACTTCAACATATTTGGATCACAAAACATATTTGGATCACAAATTTGGATCAACACATTCCATTTGCCCACATTTGAAATACGTTTGGATTAGCAGAACGGAGACTAGGGGGAAAAAAAACTGATGCCTTAGAGCTGAGTGGAAATTTCCTGGTGACATGTTCTCTAAATATCCCAAAATATCTCTCAGACTCGAGTGTCTTGAGATCTCTGTGTTCCTCTTGTTTACTCCAGGTTTAGGCAGCACATGCCTATCATTCAGTCCCATTGCTTTTCACAGTTGTGGTAATGTGAGTGCTAATAATGATTTTTCATGCTGTGGAGTTTTCTTCTTACATCACTTCAATGTCAAAGGAATTTCTTTGAAACAATGCGTAGGACATTGCAAACTTGACGGGGGTAGTGATCAGTAAGTTCATGTTAAAGATTAGAAATCTTTAGACAAAGGGTGAGTGGCTTGCCTATGTTTCCTCAGGAAGCTGGAGACAAAGACAAGAATGGGATCCCAGACCCTCAGTTCCCATGCTGTAACCACAAAATTATCATGGGGTTTACTAAAAAAATGCTTCTGTAGTAAATCCAAGTATGTCATCCATGTCTCAATTCCTAAAATGAAAACATACTGCATTACGTAAAGAGGAAACGAGTGAGATGACCCCCCCATTTATATATTCTGGACTTCACTGTTATTTTGCTAGGTTACCTCAATTTACCTGCCTTTTCCAATGAGCTTTCATGACCAATAACTTGGCTGTTGTTTTAAAATTAGTATTTACTAAAGGTAGGTAAATGTGAAGGGGGAAACAGGAGAACTTCAGACTCCAGTTTTTAGTGGACATAGCCCTCTGTCACTCTGGCTGCTCTGCGATCCATGCTTCTGCTGTACAAAAGCAGGTTACAGCACTGGGGTTCCGAACAAGCTGCTCTGTGCTTTTCTCATTAAAAATTTTAGAGTCTGATACGTTCAACTTTCCTTGATCCCAAGCAATCAAATAGGCAGTCAGTTTTGTATTCTTCACATTTCACCAATTCCAAGGGATAGCAGTTGAATCAGGGCTACAGAAGGAGCAGTAGCCAGTTTGAGAGCAGGATTCTCATGCTGTTTTTGAATCAGAACCGATTCTATAGCAAAATCTTAGCCCTTTGGAAGACTAATGTCCATTGTTAGCCCCTGCGTACATAGAAAATAGTAGTTGGAACTGTTTTAAAATAAACAGCATGAGAAACTCTGTCTTAATCTCATGGGTTCCTTGCTGTTTGTTTGGGCACGTGATGTGCTGTACCCATTCTCACTGCACAGAGCCACGTACTCTTGTTGAGATGTTCTACATCTGTCTTGAGGTGAGAGATTATTTTAGACCTTTTACATCTATCAGGACCTTATTTTTTTCATGAAGCCAGAATTACTTTGTCTCTCATCTTACTTACTGCACAGTTTCCTCACTGTGGGTCTCCATAGCGATTATCTTCTTGCATATTTGACCACCTGACTTCCATCCTAGAAAGTTTCCAGTGAACCTTTCTGAGAAAAGCTGCTGTGATTTGCTGATAGCACAACCTCCTGTATCTGTCAGTGCAGCAAAGCTTTCAGATTTAGTTCTCAGCCACTGATGCCTGGTTGGTTATAAAGGGAAAGGAGGTGTGAATATTAGTATTTTCGGTACAATTATGAATCTAACTAAGGCTGTAGCTCCAGAGGCATGAATTTGTGCAAGGCTCTGGTGAACTACCATCCCAGCTGTCCATGAATGCAGCCTAAGGACTTAGAAACAGGTGACTATGAATACTCCTTGTGTGCCACTGACTGTCAAAACTGGCATGTAAACCATGCTAAGTACACAGGCCATGAGTCCACACCAG